TTTCAGAATTTCTCAAGGAATTCCTCTAAACACATTTTCTCGTCAAATCGAACTACTACATGAAGCTTGCTTGTCACTGCTGAACCCATGACGTCACTACAATCTGACCAATCAGGAATCGCATGCTAAAATAGCTCAGACTTGCGCGCGGAGCCAAAAATAGATTTTCAAGAAACTTTCATGGGTCACAGGGATGGGCTCTCTTACTCCATATTCTCTTGGGGAGCATTAAATTTTTAGGAGGGGGAGGGGGTCCGCCTTGGGAAACATCGCCGACTTTGGACCACAAAACAGACTGCCTCCCAACTGCTTCCCTCGGTCCCAGCGCCCGGTTCCCGCCGACTAGCGGTCAAACGAGCGGCTTTCCATTAACACCACAGGAACCCCAAGAGCATGAAACATGCATTGAACCTTTTCATAACAGTTGCCAAGGGTTTTTCTGTTATCCCTACGTGGAACATCTTGGAATAATTTATTAAACGTTCGACTTTTCTTGTCAAAAGTAATGCATAAGATGAAAACAGACGCTATGTTTCAAAACTTGCTGTAGACTCTTTTTATCTTATGACATGAAGTAGTCCGCCAGATTTTTACTCCTTCCCAGGCTCTCCCTGACATTACATAACAAAGTCAAATCATTCGAGTCTCGAAGCATGAAAAACTCTTCTTAACAAAATCGAACAGTTTTAAAATGCTGAGTGGACGTGCTATGCTTCTTAGTTGTCAGGCTTCAAGCTCTTTTCTTCGGCAAGTGGTAAGTAAGCGTTATTTTTTGAATTCCTAATTTTTACCAAATAAAACGCAACCGAAGTTTGAGCTTGAAGACAACATTTCGTGCTCGAACGATACAAACATTTTTGACAGTAGTAAATTAACCTTTGGGAAAATCGACCGGGAGTGACTAAAAATAACTGTTTTCCTATTCTGAAAAGTCTAAAAATAATCAATTTTTTGTGAAATTTCATGGTGAAATTTTTGACCGTTCCTAAACCACAGGAAGCCCAGACAGAGTAAAATTGCATAAGTTTTGCATAAGCAGTGTTGTGATTAAGAAATCCTTGAACTGATATATAAAGGATGTGACAAAGTGATTATATTACTGTTAGAAGCTCAGGTAGATTGTTGACTTTCTTTATAAGATTAGATATTCCTGTATTAGATATTCTTGTATACGTTGTATTCGGATTCGAGTCCCGTTGAGCTCAGTGTCGTATGTCGTATGTGAGTAGAGTTGTTTGTTGGTTCTCTCCTGTGCTTCAAGGGTTTTCCAGGTTCTCCGGCTTTCCTCCCGCCACAAAAATCAACTCCTAAATTCCAATTGGAATTACAGTGGATGAATAGCTACTCTGTAGAAATGCCACTGTTAAATCCCATTTATTTATTTATTCGTTTATTCATTCATTCATTCATTTATTCATTCGCTCACTCATTCGCTCACTCACTCACTCACTCACTCACTCACTCACTCACTCACTCATTTACTTATTTATTTATTTATTTGTTCAGTGAACTGTAGTCTGTAAAATGTACATTTCTTTGACCCTTTTCTCAGATGATATAATTGTATATTATTTTTAGTATATAATGTATATTTCCGGCCCTTCACTAGTGGTGGCTTGTAGATTGAACCCCCTCACTCTAAGGGCCGTAGCCACTGGTATGGTTGGTCTTCTTTCAGAAAAATAGTTTAAAAATGTAAGAAAAACCAAAAACCCTCAAAAACCGGACCAATCAGAAATTTGTCCCTGCCTCTCTGCACCTTTGTAGGAGTACAAATAATGTTAAGTGCTATTTTAGTTTAAATCAAGAAATGGAATAACTAAGATTGGTAGGAAAATAAACCTTCCCTTTCAATGTCCTAGTGACTGGCCTGGTTTCTGTGACCCACAACTAGACACAACTAAACAGGTGTATAGCCCATAGGATGCACATAGGGTGCCTGTGGTATTTGTCTTTCTATTCCTATATATTATAAATTCATTTTTTTCTGGTCATTATCCTGAAAATCATGCTTTCTAATACAACTCCCATTTCTAGTTTGCCTTTGTTCAATATTAGACCTCTTTGGCTCTGACGTAACATTTTCCCATTTCAGACCACATGTCATTCCCTAGAGTATCATTTCTTTATTTAAGGTTTGTGCTTGGTTGCACATGAGAAGACACATGAATATGGATACAGTTCAAACAAAGAATCTTATTCTCAAGGGCATGACACATGGTCTGAAATGGGAAAATGTTATGTCAGAGCCGAAGAGGTCTATTGTTTAGTTGAGTGGCTGAATATTTTAATGCACAACTAAGGGTAAGGCTGAACAAAAGAGAACTTGAGGCTGTTGTATTGGCTGTTGCATGGAGCAAGGGTTATTTTCTATCTCTGACCACTGCCGGGTATCCTAATTGCCTACTGTATACCATCATGAATGCACATGGGATAACAGATTTGGGATTTCAGGATAACGAAGAAAAAAAGTCATTTACTGCCTTAAAGTCGGTCAGAATATGGAAAAACTGTGCTCTCAGTCTTGAAAACAGAACTCAACCCAATGGCTTCCAACCATGTATTCAAGATCTTGGGCACAGTTTTCCCTATCTGGAACTCTAGGACAATAAATAACCTTTATGAATTCTACTGAATACTTTTTCTCACAAATGTGAAATGTTATGACGCAGTAGAGATTTTGATACATATATTCTATTTTTCAGCCATTTTTGACCCAAAGGGTTGGGTGTGCTTCAAGAAACTTTACATGTACCAATGCAAAGTTGAGTGGTACATCATTATGGCAGTCACTGAGACAAAGGGCTTTATCTGTGAGTATTTTATATAAAATGGCATTTCTTGATGGTGGTACTTGCTATCTTTTGATTCCATGGTACAAGAAGATCCAGTATGAGTTGTGCATATGGTGATGAGGGGGGGGGGGGGGGGGGGGAAGGTGAAGATGTGAAATGTCTATAATAATTTTGAGCATCCCCCTTAAAAAAAAAAAAAAAAAAAAAAAAAAAAAAAAAAAAAACAGCCCAAGAATTTCCTGGTCTAATTAGAGAATTTATTTGATATAAATTAACTGTCAGTGACTACAAACTACCAATTTTGTTTATAGCTGAAATCAAGAACTAGTGGTTTGTTGAAAAAGACTTTAACTACAGAATCATCTACAATACCTTTTGCTGAAACACCAAGAGCAAGAAAAATTACAGGTTTGAACAGCAGTTGCCATGTTGTTGTTTTCAACAGCCAATGAAATTTCAGGGTTTCCCAGAGCCTCCGATTTGAGGAGCCTCTGGGTATGAGAATGACTGTTTTACCCAAATTTAGTCTGATTAATCTCTTTCCTGATTGGTCAACTAATAAGCATTGTGTATACAATGTACGTAAACAAACATGTGATGGCATTATTTTGAATTTGGACTTCCAGAACAAGCTCTAGCAGACATACTTTGTTCCCAGGAGTATTTTTTCTGGGAGTGAGAAACGAGTGACAGAACTTTGCCCCTGGGTTCCCAAGGATGCATATAGTGATGTTTGTACTCAAGCTAGACCTGAATGCATTCTGTTTATCAATCTCAGAGAAGGACTATAATTTGATATGATTGCATTGTTTTTCTGATCAGGATACTGGTTGCTAGCATGTTCTGGCATGACATTTTCCATGGTGATCCTTGGTGGGGTCACAAGACTAACAGAGTCAGGTCTGTCCATGGTAGACTGGAATCTCATCAAGGGTATGAAGCCTCCCACCACACAACAGCAGTGGGAAGAAGAATTCAAGAGGTATCAAAACTTCCCAGAATACAAGATGTAAGTTTAAAACATACATGAAATATTTGTTTACAAATAGAATACTTTATGTCTTATTGAACTTGTAACCGTAATAATTTATTAATTTATAATCTGTAAATACCAATTTAAAAAATTTTCAAATATGCATAATTATTTATGCATCTGATGTAATAATTCATAATTTGTAATAATTTCAGAATATTCTCATGTCTTATCGCACTTGTAATGTAATAATTTATTAATTTATAGTCTGTAAATATCAATTTAAAAAAATTTGCATAATAATTTATGCATCTGGGCCCGGTTGTATGAAGCCTGGATAGTGCTATCCAAGGGATAAATCTTATCCAGTGGATAAATTTATTGGATAACAACATCGATTTATCCACTGGATAAGGATTTACCCACCGGATAGCGCTATCCAGGTTTCGTACAACCGGGCCCTGATGTAATAATTCATATTATTTAACATGAACTTTTTCATGGAATTCTTTTTATTATTATTATTTTAATTTTTCTTTTTATTCTTTTTATTATTATTCTTTTATTTTATTATTTTATTATTATTATTTTATTGTTATATTATTATTATTTTTTTATAATGGAAACAGTTCGAACCAAGGGATGTCATTGGATGAGTTCAAGCGTATATGGTACATGGAATACTTCCATCGTATGTGGGGCAGAGCGATTGGTTTGGTCTACTTCCTACCTGCTGGGTACTTCCTGGCCAGAGGGTATTTCAACAAGAGCATGAAAATAAGAACGGGAGTTCTTGGAGGGCTGCTGGTATTCCAGGTAAATTTTATTATCTCAAAATTCGGCTCTTTCTTGGCGTTGCAGGGCAAATGAGCCATGAAGACAATACAGCAATAGCCGAGAACAATGTGTTTGGAGCTCAGACGTTAAAGACAATATTAAAACCAATAGCCAAGAACAATGTGTTTGGAGCTAAACAACATATCAAACATTGGTGGCGTATTTTCCTGTGTCGCTCTTTAAGAAAAGGAACTAGTTTTACTCTAATTCTTTTCAATAAAGAATTAGGGTTGTTTTTAAAAAATGCGTATAAAGGTAGATCTATCAATGGTAAATAGATTTCTCGGATTTTTGAGAGAGATTTCTGCAGCTAACGATGGATGGAAAGCTCTTTCTACGTCAACTACAACCAAATATGGAATTAATCATACCATATATGGAGTGAGCTTTCTCTACTCTAACTTCGACATTAACATATAGAGGAAAGCTTGATATGATACCCTTCAATACAATAACCGTAACCCAGAATACAATACATCCTGCAACACCAAGTAAGACCCCAAAATTCATTCATGCATCATTCTTTTGGGTTGAGTGTAATGTTTTCTCATTCCGTGCTCCGTTCATTAATAAAGCACGCAGGGAGTGACGTAAGCACTCAAGAAGTGTAAGGAGAAGCACGATACATAATTAATTAACTGGTTTCCAATTTGGTCCAGAGGTGAGAGGCGAGTGCAATACTTCTCCACCACTCTCCAAAAATGATAAATTGGAAACGTTATTTACCGCCATTTGCGTTGCTACGCGGCCACCCCAGACAAAAATCGCTGACGCCATTTACACGCCTGTGTGATTCAAAGGGCGCCAAAACTTGTCGATTGTTTACAAGTATTATAAGCCACACTCACCGGGCCTATCCGCGCCGATCCAAACGTGTTTGATAGAAGGCAGTCTATTGCAAAGTGCACGTCGTGATTTATGTCTGAGGTTGCCGCGTAGCAATGCAAATGGCGGTAAAAAATAAGAAAAGGGGCCTAATAAAGCACCATGTCAAACATTTTCACGAACAATAGTAGATATTTTCACTGAAATCTTATTTTGCTGATTGGGTTAACGCCAAAAACGTAGCAAATTTAGCATATTTTTGTGATGTTTTCCCCATAGGGATTACTGGGATGGTATATGGTCAAGAGTGGTTTAGATGAAGACCTAATCAGCAAGACTGAAATCCCACGTGTCAGTCAGTACAGACTGGCCTCGCATCTCTCTGCTGCTTTTGTATTCTACTCTGGTCTTCTGTGGTGTGCGATGTGTCAACTCATGCCACACCCAAAGGTGAGCTTGACTGGGATCTGATTGGGTATGCATCTGCAGGCCTCAGTTTTGGTTCTTATTAATCATTAATAAACTAAATGGAGGCGGCATTGTCGAGTGGTCTTAGCGTCGGTCTCGCAACCCGTTGGTGTTGAGTTCGAGTCCCACTGTGGCCACTACCTGAGACTGTATTTGTTTGTTTTTCTTAAAACACTTTGTTTCTTTGATTATTTCTTCATTTCAGTTTCATTTCAGTGTCCCCAATTAGTTGTATAAACTAAATACTTCGACACTTAAATAAAAAGTTATTTATTAATTATTTAATTTCCAACGTTTTTATTTGATTCTTCAGTATGAATTAACCAAAGAATTACGAAAGTTTCGCATGTATGCGCATGGCTGTAAAGGACTGGTTTTTTTGACTGCAGTGTCAGGTATGACGATGAGAGTATGTACTCTTATTATTGAGGGGGGAGGGGTGGGGATATGGGGAAGAGGTACCTCATGACAGTGACATGCATATGCAATTTGGCTTGGCGACTTATATAACGACGAAGGACGAAAAGATTCGCAAAAAAGTAAATTGAGAACGTATAGAAGGTTTAAAACAGTCTATAAGCAAGAAGAATACCTGAGAGAAGTTAGCAACATCAAACATAGAATAAGTCTTACACAACTCAGAATCAGCGATCACTGTCTTCAGATTGAAGTGGACAGATACACTCGACCATACACTAAACCTGAAGAAAGGCTATGTCTGTATGTAAGGTTGGTGTAGAAGATGAGGTACACTTCCTTCTAACATGTTCAAATTATATTGTAGGAAGGAAAAATCTTCTGAATAAGATAAAGGAGGCAGCAAACTTTAAAGTAGAATGGTTAAGCGAAGAAGAGGAATTCTTTTTTTTTTTTTCTTCAAAAATTCAATTTTATCATAAACCCCAACAAACCAATCCAAAAAATAGTTGCTAAATATATACGTGATTGTTATAAAAAGAGGGATATTCTAAAGCAATAAAATCATTGACAAATTTAACTTATTAATATTTTGGTGAAAAAAGGAAAAGACATTATATATAGATCGATGGGCGGCGATCGCCGATATCATTATAAACAAGAAGTCACATATATTAGTTTATTGAATTATTCTATATTTTTTATTGGCAGCAATCCAATGTAAATATGTTTATACGGAACCAATAACATACGTTGTCTTGTCTTGTCATGCATATTCATCCGGGAAGCACCACGTGCAACTTGCTTTAAGATCCTTCAGTAACCTGTCTGTGACGAACTTTTTAAAAGTACCAGGAATGGAAAGTGATACGAATGACCTTAAAATCAAGGCGAATTTTAAGTTGTGTTTCCTTATTCTTCAGGTGCATTTGTAGCAGGTCTGGACGCAGGTCTTGTCTATAATTCATTTCCAAAGATGGCTGATCGTTGGATTCCAACGGATCTCTTAGCGCATCATCCCACGTGGAGGAACTTCTTTGAGAACGCCACAACTGTTCAGTTTGACCATCGGATTTTGGTAAAAATTGATAAGATGTATTGTTATGAAGATTTATAAATATAAATGATCTATTTGTTGCAAGGCTATTCTGAACGTCGTAGGGGCGGATCAATAATAATTTTTTGGTAAATAGAGTTATGATACTAAGACCAAGGTCAACTGTCGAACTTCACATGAGCCGAACCTAATGACATCAGAAAAGACCGTCTTGTTATCCATTCAATTATGTTCTTTTTTTTAACAGCAAAAAAATAAAAAATAAAATAAAAATATAATAATAATAATTAATAATAAATAATAATGAAGTTCTACGTTTGACCTGAGCCTTAGTCTTGATGAATAATTGACCCTCTTTTCCAACTCAAATGTACTTCAAAATTAAAGCTCTATCGAAAACGTCCAAGAAAATCTAGTTTTACAATGAATATCGTATATTAAGGAGGAAAACAATAGGAAAAATCTAGTTGAGTAGCTCATACATTCCCCTATAATGGGCTACTCATCTCGACTATACGGCGGCCATTTTGTCGGGTGCCAAAACAAAACAAAGATGACGGAAAATATATAGAGTTTCGTTTGTTTGTCTTTCTTTTATGGGTAAAGGTGATCGATGTGCCGTCTTAATTCATCTTTTGTTGTATTCTCTTGTGGTGAACTGTTAATATCAATCGACGCCATTACAAATTAAAATTGAAATTTAGGTTAACTATTTGTTGTATTTTCTTCAGGGAAGTACAGTTGTAGCTGCTGTCACTCTGCTCTGGGCCATGGCCAGACCACTTGCTCTTCCTGGACGCGCAAAGTTAGCTGTCAATTGTATGGCAGGAATGGCTGGTTTACAGGTATGTGGTGGTGGCGTTTTTACAAGGAACCTCAAGTCGCTCTGTAAAATCGTGCATTGTGATTGGATGTTTTACTCCTCAGTTAACCCTAGCATTATATTTCTACAGCCAATTATTCCATTTGCTTTTTGTTTCATATTTATCTATTCGTTCTTTGACTTGTTTGTCGGTTCACATGCTTGCTTGTTTGTTTATTCGCAGGCAACACGAGTGAAAAACGTCTGCGCATGCTCTGAATCCGTATGCAAATTACTCAAAACATATGTAAATTTGACTTTCAAACATGCCTGATAAATTGGACTTCACAAAATGCCATGCTTGAAACTTAAGGGTAATTCTTTCATATTGTGTTTGTTAATATAGTATCTTGGTCTGACAATAGTATACTCTCGAAATTTTTTGTATACTTGGAGAAAACAAACATTTATTTTCTCACTCAAACTCTTCAAAATTCTTAGAAAACGTGCTGAAGTGCACGCATGCGCAAACGTTTTTCACTCGTGTCTTCGTAGGCCCCTTTGCTTACTTAACCTTGCATCAGTGTTTGTTTGCGTGTTTTCCTTCCTTGCTCTTGTCTCACTAATCCATTGATCTCATAATTACTTTGATTCAGGTTACATTAGGGATTCTAACCCTGCTATACTACGTGCCAACACACCTGGCAGCCACACACCAGTCAGGATCACTGGTTCTCCTTTCTCTTGCTTTATGGCTCACTAACGAGTTGAGAAAACCAAAAGTCCTTTAATTAGACTTAAATACAAGTACCAATGGATTCTTATGGAAATATCGTTGAGCATACAGAGCCTACACGTCACTGTTTCTCCTCAGGACTGAACTGCAAACTGTGGCGTCGCGAGAATACCAGAGTTTGGGAGCGCGTTTTTTTGCTTTAAAATTTCCCGCCAAATCCACAGGAATCCCATCATTATGAGCCATGGAGAGAACCATTTTGTCACAAGAAGGATATAGTAAAGAGTCTCCAATATGTGAGCTTTAGGACCTTAAGAGGCAAAGAGGAAACATTCGAGTGTGTAAAAAAATAAATAACTTAAATTAATATAGATAAAGGAAACTTTCTTTCGTTGGTACTTGTAAAGCTAACCAAAATAGCTTCATAAGTCACTTTTTTAAATAGCAACTAGGTACTCTGTATGCATGAATATTTGATACTGTATGCCCTCCACGACTTCCCTGCTAGCAGAGTCTCTCTTCGCTTTCTCTCCCTTCTTTCAGGCGGGGAGGAAGGAGACTGCCGATGTAGAGCGTTTCCTTTGATACACAGCCGTCCAGGACCGTGGACAAACGAAACCAGTTTTAAAACCGGTTTTTAACCGGTTACATGTAGTGCGCATGAGCAAATGTAACGCACCGTGGCGCCAATCATTGTTTGACGAGCCGTGGCAGTCAAAATTATGACAGCGTTGCTAAGTTACGCCACGCAGATGCTACAAGTATACTTCCTACATCGGCAGAGTCTTTTTCTCACTCCACCAAAACAAAAGGAAAATATGCTCTGCTAGCTGGGAACTCCACTACGAAATAAGATCTGGGACTCCGGACTTCAGGTTCGGCATACTTGCTAGTCGCAAAATGACGTAACATATCACAAGGACAAGGTCTGCCTTGCAGATAGTGCAGCAAAGTTCAAAAATTAAGCTAGCATGTTCCTAAGACTGCGTTTACACGGTACCGGACGAATTTTTAACCGTTCAAAAATTTGACTTCTACATAACATACATCGATCTTGCATTCATTGATCTACATCCCTAGTTACTGTTGCTATGCCGGACAAGCTAAATTGTGTTTTTGATATACAGCATGGAACAGACACCGATTGCTGAAAATTGTAAATGTCTGTCTTAGAATCAATGCATTTTAAAGGTACATTAAGAAATAAATCGATATCTTTATTTTTTTGGTCGGACATTTGGTATTTCATTGGGAAAACTACCCACTTGAGCATAGCCGGGATCGGTCTACAGTCGAACCTCTATCAAGCGGTCAACCTCTATTAAGCGGTCACTTGGCTAAGTCCCGTGGGTGACCGCTTAATAGAGGTTCGACTGTATTTTATAAAAATACGCTCTGTTTACACGGTACCGATCATTGACAATTTTTTTATCCGTGCAATTTAAAAATTCGTCCGGTACCATGGAAACAAAGCCAAAGGCTGCTTGTTACCAGCAATAGTTAAGCAACGTTCTACTCGTTCTCTAAGGTCCAATTATAATTTTAGTCTTTTTCCTTGTAGGACGGAACGTTTTCTGCAGTCTTTTTTTCCTTCTGCTGTTAAGTTATGGAATTCATTAGATTTGCAAATTAGGAATGTGGAATCTCTTTCTATTTTTACGAAAGATATCTGTGACAAGTTTCTTTCTTTGAAATATAATAAACTATTTAATTATTCTATTTCAAGAATAGCGTCAGTTCTACATGCTCGATTAAGGTTACAAGCCTGTGCATTAAACGAGTACTTGTTTCAAATCAATTGTTTTCCTCTCCCCGATGTAGATGTGGAATTGAAAAAGAATCAATTATGCATTTTTTCTTTAAATGTCCCTTATATGCTGCTCAGAGAAATTCTCTTTTTACCTCGGCTGCATCGATTCGTGGTAGTTTGTGGCAAAATGTTTCTTCAAAAATGCAAAAACTTAGTTGGTTTTTATATGGCTGTAGAGACCTAGACTTAAAAAAAATCATGAACTTTTCACTGAAGTACAAAAGTACATATTAGCTACAAACCGTTTTTTGTTCACCAAAGATTAATTTTCATTTACTGTTTTCGTTATTTCGCTTTTGCTAGTTTAATTTTCTTTCTTTGTACTGTAAATATTATGGATGTGAGCCCCCTCGTTAAGCTTTACAGCTTTTGGGGCAAATGTTTAGTCAAATATGTTTAAATAAAAATAATAATAAAATAAAAAAGGCTGAGCAAAGAGAGTTTAAACCGGAGTATTTCGTTCTATGCTGATTGTCTCGTAATGATTAGTTTTCATACATCGCGAATGGCACCTTTTAAGAGCGGTCCCTTTAGAGGTTTAGCACGTAAGACAGTTATATAAATAAAGCCTGTCTTCAGATAATGTCGCTACGAATCAATAAATAATCAAATTTTAATTAAAAAACTACAAGTAAAAAAACTACAAGTAAATCGCGTCCTCATAAATTAAACTAAAGCTTGATGGAAGCCATTCGCTTGTGTTACGTAAGGCAATTACTAGTAAGGGTTTTTTTTCTCCCGTTATATTTTCAACTCGCACTAGTACTCTTATCTAACAGTTTGGACTCTGCTGTGATCGTTTTTGAAATATAACTTTACAGTTGTTTCTTTAATTGAATAGAATATGACTTTCATAAAAAATGGCACTTTTTTAACGAAATGAATTCAGTTTTTCCTGAGCCAAGCAAGCAGGTGGTGGAATGGAATTAATGATAAGTCCACCTAAGTCTACCTCGTAACTCTCTAACGACTATCGGTGTATTATAATAATAATAATAATAATAATAATAATAATAATAATAATAATAATAATAATAGTAATAAGGGGAAGGGGGTAGGATTCTAAAATT